GAATATTTTCTTCTATACTTTTAGCACGTAGCTATTTGTTATTAACATTGTTCTTCCGACGCCTGATTTCTGTTCGATTATAGGAAATGCGTTTTTCTGAAGTACATAAACTTTTGGGATTGACTGTATAACCAATACATTCTTAAAACCGTGTCTCAACAAGGGTTCGCTACTTCCGTTAGTTAAAACAAATCGACTCATTAAAGTAGAATGAAGTAGACGTAATGCGATACCGGAGAGAAGTTTTAAAAAATCAAGCACGTGTCGGCTATACAACTGCGTAACCCTTTATTTTGTTAAATTGCCCCAACAACTTCTCCCACCGCAGAAGTTAGCCCCGGCAAATTTACCGTTTTAAGCGTATCAAGGTGAAACGTAACGAACACCTTTTCTCTGCAGCTTAAATCCCCGCCTAACTAATTAACTATCATCGCCGCGAGTTTACAATTCCAAAGGGAACGGAAATTTGTTCGAAGCGGATAGAATCTCTTGCGCGGTGAAATTTCGCCGTAATTCGACGAAACGTGCGCGAATGAATTACGATGATAAATTGAGTCACGCCCGCGCTTCCTAGCAAAGAAGGCGCACGGTATTCAATTTCCGTCCATTTCTGTTTTCAGCTTTCTGAGGACATTGGTTACGTGCTCTACTCCGCGCTCGGCAGCTTCTACATCCCCTCGTGTATCATGGTGTTCGTGTACATACGCATTTACTTCGCGGCGAAGGCGCGGGCGCGTCGCGGAATCCGGAAGCAGCCGCGGCCGCGGGCCATGGCGCCGCCGGAGTCGCCGGACGTCCGGCAGACCAGCTTCACACAGAGCACGCCCGCGACCGAGACCAAGAAACCGCCTGGTTCCGTCATGGAGAACGTAGCCACCATCGAGAACCAACCGGTGCAAATTCCGATCGTCACATGCGATTTCGCCAGCGACGTGAGCACGTCCGAGGCGGATCCGGGCGGGGGAAGCAGCATCCCGATGGAAGAGAAGGATACGCTCAAGGTTAACGTTCTAGCCCTTTATAGACTCTAACATGCAATTAGAAACACTCGGAAACAGTTGTAAAATGTTCGGCTGAAGCTTTTTTCAAACAAAGCGAAAGCTGTTCCACCCGCGGAACGAATGCGTTCCTAAACAAAACGTTTTAGAGTCTACACTGAATGCAATGTACGTGAAGAGACAGCCAGAGAGAGGGGGGAAGAAGTAAATTTCAAAAGGAGAGGGTTTATGCAAAAATAATGCAAAGGCGGTAGATTCATTGTGTCGCTTCGTTTAAAGCAGTTTCTCTCGGCATACTGTTTCGAATGAAAACGCCGTCTCTCTTAAAATATACGTTGCCTATCCCGGGAACGGTATCAAGCGGGCCATTCCGCATATTTAACAACGATGTTCTCTTGCTAGTATGATTGTACATCACGGGCACGCGTTTTGATCCTGTGCGCTGTGATGCATTACCTCCAGGGCGAACAGACATTATCCTCTGTTACGTCTCGGTACGAGTTCCACTCGAATCCGCGGATTTGCCCTCTATACTATACATATATATACGTATCCACGCCACAAATTTCTTTCGTCCGATTCAACCTTTTCCTCGAGTAGTACAACGAATTCTCGAGGATCGAATAACTTCAGACGGATAAGACACACCTGTCTCTCTGCCACTCGCGTCTCGGATACACTTTATCCAATAATTTCGAGTCTCGTATGGTTTCGTCTCGTTTCCTTCCCCTTCAGGTTTTTCTCGTAATCCAAATGCATATCTACCGTTTGACGATGCGGGAAGAGCTGCTCACGGGATCGCGTCAGGGCGGTGAACCAATGAATCTCGGTGATTCGCTATCAGATTTCATGTACATCCGTACAAATGGCATCGAAGAAGATCGCATGCCTCGAAATGACCAATTTTTATGGTCGTTCATAAATACAAATCGCTCAAGCTACAACAAATCAGGGGTCCCAACGGAATCGACGAAATTTTAAAGGGCGTCAATGATTAAAATGTCGATAACTGAATATATTTATACATCAGATTAATTAAAACTGAAATTTCGTGCAATTAGAATCTGTGTTTCTGTTTCTGAAAACTTGTTCATATTTACAAAATAAAAAATAAAGAAAAATGTGAGGGGAACGATAACAAAAAGTTGGGAATCCCTGTATCAGACGGTGCGAAGTTCATCTCATGAATTAAATGTTAAAGTAGTAAACAGATGAACGATAACGCTTAATAATTTTGTTCAACAGGTGACGATTACGGTCCCGATGCAAAAGAGTAATCTGAAGGCGACTCTTTCGGTGAACGGGGACGGTCAGTCGAGTGTGCCGCCGCGATGCAGGGCGCCAAGCGTCGGCATCGACGTGGACATGGTATCGGAGTTCGACCCGTCCTCATCGGACAGCGGCGTGGTATCTAGATGCGCGGTGGTGAAGCCGCTGAAGTTGCGACTCTGTCAGCCGATCTTCGGCCGGAAGCACTTGGGCAAAGTGAAGAAGGACCACGGAGACGGCGGCCGTCCCTCTGGGAAAGACGACGGAGGCGAGAAGGCGATGAAACCGCGGGACCCGGAGAGAGAGAAGAGGAGACTGGCCAGAAAGAAAGAGAAACGGGCGACACTGATACTCGGTTTCATAATGGGCAGCTTCATCGCCTGCTGGCTACCGTTCTTCGTCCTGTACATCTTGAAACCTCTGTTCCCCAACATCGATATACCTTCGCAAGCGTTCGTGATCGCGTTCTGGCTGGGTTACATGAACTCTGCGCTGAACCCGTTTATCTACACCGTGTTCAACAAGGACTTTCGTCGCGCGTTCCGCAGGATACTGTTCAAATAGCCCCGGCGAGGATGAGCGGACGCGCTCGAACCTGTTACGGTTATCACGAACGAGGAAAGGCCGTCGCGATGGAAACTGGCCGAAACGGGGAGATAGAGCAAGAGACGACCGGTCTCGGCCCGAAAACGGGGCACGTTTATGCACGGCGGTGCCCTGGGAAATTCGGAGTCGACGGTAAAAGCTCTCGCGGGAAACTCCCTTTGGAATATAAACTAAGGGAAATTCGAGTCGGATGGAATTGTCGAGTACGCGACGTCCTGGAAGATTCGCGTGTGACGCAGCCTCGGCACCTGCCGTACTCCTTCCGCGAAGGATAACGCGAGTCCTGGAGGAATCGCGAGAAAACAACGAAAGAGAGAGACCTGAAAAATTCGATGGCCCGCTGACGACGATGAACCCTGTATGAGGCGTCCCGCGTGCCGCTGCGGCGACAGCTTCTGATGCCGCGGAACTGGCCGTCGATTCGACGTGACACCCGCCGAAGACTGATGGATTTCACCGATTCCTACGTCGTGATTCAAGATAATCGCGTGGAGAGTGGAAATAACGTTCCCCAGTGAGTTCACGCTCGAGCTGATCACGAACCTCGTGTGTCACGTCTACGAGAAATCGAGCCCGTCGAGAAATTAGAGGAGGACGACGAACACCTTGATTCTCCGAGTTCCTTCAACGCCCACGAACGCAGACGGCACGCGGTCCGATTGTAAATTAAACGTCGCGACAATCCACTTACATACTATGTATCGATGTACGTGAATGTAGATATGTATAGCTGTATGTGTGTATATAATATAGCCGCTGCACGCGGCTCGTCCGAAAAGCTATTTCTTTGTTCTCGGTTCGAACAACCAAGAGTGACCAAGAAGCGAGCGTATTCGCGTTCACCCGAGTTTCGAATCTCGCTTCGGAATTGCGTGTGCCGGTCTGGTACCCGTTTCCGTGGACCGAGACGCGGGAGAAACAAACTTTTGAAGCTGCGACACGGGGGACGGCCAAGTTTCCTCGAGAAAATCTGAGCGTGTCGTGGTTTGGAAAAGAAAGGATAACAACGGGGAGGGTGAGTTTCGAACCTGTTCTGTTTCGCGAGACGCGAAACTTCTGACACGCCTGGCATACATGTGTAATAACACCTGATGGTCGTGGGATATAATGTACGGGTGAAAAGAATCTCGACGCGAGAAATCGTTATTCGAAACGAGGCGAGTATGCTTCCTATCGATAGGTACACGTACGCGTACACATCTCCGCATAACACGAACCACGCAGACACGCACATGTACATCGCATTTAGAGACGGTGGAAACGTGGACACGCGGCAACGTTTTAATCGTGTAGAGTCGTTTAATCACGAGAAATTTTTCCAATTCTACGATTATAAATAAATGGGTAAGGATGACGGAGAAATGTATGTATTACCGTAAAAACGTAGGAGATTTTCCGGTTTAATCGAATCGAATCAAAAGAGGAATAGTGCGGGTGAAGGGAGTTTCGAAATGTATTCGGTTTCAGCGGACGAGATTAAAATTCGCGCAACACGATTACATGGAAATCAGGAGGATGATATGACGCGAAGGGAGAACGCGGGATTTTTATCTCGATCGGTTTCATATTATTAAATTTAATCGCGCTTGAATGCGTAGGCGAGACCTGAATGCGTGCACCTTTATTTGTTTACTGGGACCGATCGAAACCAACACAGAGGACCCGATGCGGTTTCAATTATTACGCGGCATTACGCAATGTTTGCACGTTGCGCCGGGGTGCCAATTCGCGATCGGCACCCGCTTCATAATTTAACGGCCGCGCCGGTTTCACCGAAGCACGCACTGAATCCGCTCTCATCAAAATCGATTAATCCCGACTCTCGAAACCGGCCCCACCTATCCTCCCTTTAATCCTGAACACCGACTCTATTTAATCGATTATCGCATCTGTACTATATCCCTCGCTTTCCATCGTTCCAATCGATTCGACGAACAGCTTCCGTCGACGTCACTGTGTTCACTCATTTCTGCGACCCTTACGTGTTAAATTGACGCGGAAACGGTGGATCAAAAGACAAATGAAAAAAGCTCGAAGAAATATCACGAAAAACGGAATTACATACGGACTATAAAATTGCCCTGGATCGCGTGCAACGAGTAACTGAAAATAGAAAACAAGGGCTGTGCAATCGGTGCTGGTAAATCGAAAAAGAAGCAACATGAATTTTCGGAAACAATTTCCTGTTACTTTTTCACCGATGTGGCCAATCCAGCCTCTCTATTTCACAGATTAAAGATCATCCCTTTGCCAACGCCATTTGACCGCGAGGAATAAAAAATTTTTTTCGGTTTGCCTCCCGGGCTCGAAATCCAGGTATTTTCGTTCGAGGGTCGGGATTTAAAGTCCCCTCGAACACGAACATATCTCTGATTCTATTTTGTTTTTCAATTATGTTTCAAATAACATCCGAGTTCGAGACACCTGTTTTCTCATGAATATTTCTCATAAGTTTTCACGAGATTTTGTTATTTGAAATAAAACGACAGAAATTCAAGAACGAAGTGCTTTTCAATCCCGGATAATCTTTAAGAAGAATTTCGAATTCAAAATTGAAATAAATTACAGATCTTCGAGAATAATGTTTAGCTTTGGTGGTTGAATCTGGGTTTCGCTGGAAACCTCCCCAACTCGGAGATCTTCTCCCAGAAGTTACCAGCATACCATATTTGCTTCGAGTTCGCCAGCGAAACTAATTTACAAATTAACCGTAGCCGCTTTATGGCCATCTACGTGACACGCAACACGGCGCAACGATAAATCAATAAGGCGTGCATACGTGAGCGTCCATACCTGATGCGTCCTTAGTCGCACGCGTTTGTCTGGTTTTCTCTTCGCATTATCTCTCTCCGTGCTGCACGAACTGGGGCAAAGTGTTCGCCGAATGGAGTAACAAGACGGTGTGTGCAAAATACAGCGAGCAACGCCAACAGGAGTCATGTTCAAATTGCGACGTTCGATTATCAACTTGAGTTAAATACATCTAATAGCACGGACGAAGTCTATTTTATTTTAGATCATTTCTGCACGATGATTTTTGGAACCGTTATTTTAATTGATAGCCGCAGCCTTAAGGATGTATTGGCTATACAGTCAATCCCAAAAGTTTATGCACTTTAGAAACGCATTTTTTAAAAAGAAATCAGACGT